TTTAATATTGATAAGCATTATATTTTTTTCCATAATTTATCTGAAACAAATCTTATCATGGATCGTCTCTTCGTGACGATATTGTGGAGAAATATTTTTGTGGTTGGATATCCCATACTCACTGAGAGGTAACCAGTTCCAGACACTTCATCTTCAGGCTTTTAACCACTGTAAGTATGTTTTGCACCCAGAGCATTTGTATTCAAAGCTGAAAGTTTTTGTGGTTGTTTTTTCAGGATCTTCTTGTGGATGACCTCTTATCGTAACATTAAGAACACTCTTTTCTTCGGATTTGGATGCTTTGCTTGTACAATTTTCGTCTGATTTAGTCAGATTCTATTTCCTGTAATAACATATTCTTTAACCATGATATCTCCCAATTTGTTCCAACAAGAACTTTCTGCTTGGCTCCTCTGCTGAATGAAATAAGTCGCTTCACATTGTTGATCCTCTTTGTCACTTCGGTTCTTTTCAAAGTATACACAGCGTGGTCACAAGTAAATAGACACCACCTTTTCAGAAAAAATAAATAAATTTTTCAGTCATATTCACATGAATTGATACATTTATAATTTAATTAATATCTAGTAGATATTCCTTTCGCTTCGTGGAGTTCGTTGATCCTTTGGGGCATCGTGAGAATCATCTCGTCAATTTTAGATTGTGGGATTTTCGCCCACTCTTGCTACAAAACTTGGAGTAGATCGCTTTTCGAAGTTGGTTTTTTTTGTTGTTTCTTGACTCGCCGGTCGAGTATGGCCAAGAGGTTTTCGATGGGGTTCGTGTCAGGAGATTGGCTCGGCCAGGGCAACTTCTGGATACCATTCACTTCCTGCCACTTTTGAGTGTTTCTAGCCGTGTGACACAGTGCTCCATCTTCATGGAACAACGTTGTGTTCTTGTCCACGAAACCCGAGAAATAAAGTGACAAGAATCTTTCCTCCAAAACTTCGACGTATTTCGCAAAATGTATGTTGCCAACGCACTCCACTAAGCTCGATCTCCCACCAACCCAAACAGCTCCCCAAACCATCACGCTGAAACCACCATGCTTCACAGATGGCTGCAATCTGTTGAGCCAAAACTCTTGGTGAGGCATTCTCCAGACCCATATCCTTTCACCGTCCGAAAATTGAGCGAATCTTGATTCGTCTGAGAAAAATACGGTCTTCCAAAATAACAGAGGCTTGGTCATCATATCACTTGCACACTTCTTTCGTCTGACTATGTTGACA